CAGGAGCGCTCGGCCCTGCAGGACCGACTGCAGATGCTGGCCAATCAGAACAAAGCTCTCCAAGCCCAACTCAGCGAGATGAAAAGGAAGCAAGCCGAGTCCGACTGCAAGGTCTGAATCTGATCCAGGAGGGAGGAGGGGATCTCAGATAATCACAAACCACCTCATGTGACCTCATGTAAACAATGGATACATCTTAATTACCATCTCTCTCTCTCTCTCTCTCTCTCTCTGTCTCTCTCTCTCTCTCTCTCTGTCTCTCTCTCTCTCTCTCTCTCTCTCTCTCTCTCTCTCTCTCTCTCTCTCTCTCTCTCTCTCTCTCTCTCTCTCTCTCTCTCTCTCTCTCTCTCTCTGTCTCTCTCTCTGCAGAGTAAAGAGGATGTGATGGCAGTGCGGCTGAGGGAAGCAGACAGTATGGCGGCCATGGCTGAACTCAGGCAGAGGATCGCTGAGCTGGAGATTCAGGTCAGCACCTCTGTGTGTGTGTGTGTGTGTGTGTGTGTGTGTGTGTGTGTGTCTGTGTGTGTGTGTGTGTGTGTGTGTGTGTGTGTGTTAGAGTCAGTGGTGTTTATGTATGTAAACTGTGTTTTTCAGAAAGAGGAGGGTCTGATCCAGGGTCAGCTGAACCACTCAGACTCCAGGCAGTACATCAACCAACTCCGGGACCAGATCATCGAGCTCAAGAACGAGGTTCGACACACACACACACACACACACACACACACACACACACACACACACACACTCACACAAAAAAAACCTGCTAACAACACGTTGCTTTGTCTTTCTGAGAATGATTTGTTGCCTTTGCTGCAAGTCGCCGCAAAAAAGCATCTGGGGTGAATTTCAGCTCAATGGAGCGGGCCGATCAGCTGCTCCTGACCGGTCAGATGAATTTCTGATATGTTGGTTTCATTGGCCGGGGGGTAAACAAACCAGCTCCACTCCATGAACCCTCCTGTGTCAACCAGAACATGTAAATCCAGTCAGAGGACCGGCTCTCTGCAGACACACCACATGTATGGAGGCCCAGAAGGCACGATTGATTTGCATTACTTTTGTCTAAGCCTTATTCAATTGTTTTAGGACAAAGCTACAGACTCTACCTTGCAGGTCATAAAATGTCATCAGATCCACACCGGCTCGTTGGTGTTATAAGATTTGATCTAATTCTTTTTGTGTATTCTCCTGTGAACGCGGCTTTATGTCGACGTGTAAGAGATGCATTCTCAAAGAGAGAAAGAGAAGAAGATGGGGGAATTGCAGCTTTAAGGAAATTTGTTCTTTAAGATGTAAAATACAGGGGATGTTTGACAGGTGCATGAAAGGTTTATGAAGGGAAGGTTATGCAAAAAAATAAGATTTCAAAACTGGGAGCAATGGGAGTCAGAGCCGTCGAGTCCTACATGAAATCTGGTCCAAAAATAATGTCCCCTTGTATCTGTTTGTGTTTTTAAGAGTTTTAAATTAGAGTTTAAGAAGTGTGCATCAACCTTGTAAACAGTGTGTGTGTGTGTGTGTGTGTGTGTGTGTGTGTGTGTGTGTGTGTGTGTGTGTGTTTGCATGTGTGTGTGTGTGTGTGTGTGTGTGTGTGTGTGTGTGTGTGTGTTTGCGTGTGTGTGTGTGTGTGTGTGTGTGTGTGTGTGTGTGTGTGTGTTTGCATGTGTATGTGTGTGTGTGTGTGTGTGTGTGTTTGCATGTGTATGTGTGTGTGTGTGTATGTGTGTGTGTGTGTGTGTGTGTGTGTGTGCGTGTGTGTGTGTGTGTGTTTGCATGTGTATGTGTGTGTGTGTGTGTGTGTGTGTGTTTGCATGTGTATGTGTGTGTGTGTGTGTGTGTGTGTGTGTGTGTGTGTGTGTGTGTTTGCATGTGTATGTGTGTGTGTGTGTGTGTGTGTGTGTGTGTGTTTGCATGTGTATGTGTGTGTGTGTGTGTTTGCATGTGTATGTTGTGTGTGTGTGTGTGTGTGTGTGTGTGTGTGTGTGTGTGTGTGTGTGTGTGTGTGTGTGTGTGTGTGTCTCTCTGGTCTTTCCCAGCGAGGGTTTTCTCATCATTTGGATCAGACTGAACTTTGATTCTGAAAGAGGGGAGCCACTTTGAGCTCGGTGTGTGCGTGACAGACAAGTTACTGTCTGACTCCTGTACACAGACACACACACACACACACACACACACACACACACACACAGTGTTTCACTCGCTCCGTTTGGACTCTCTCTGAGTGTGTTCATTCAGAGAGTTGGCTGTGCGTGACTCTAAAGCGAGGGGGTGTGATGACACGGCCCTCATCTTTACCGCTCCTCTCTCTCTTTTCTTTTCATCCGCCCACCTTTTTTTATCAAACTGTGGTTTTATATAGACGACACTGAAAGCTGCGTGAGTACAAATGAGGAAACAGTGAACAATTTTAGAAAAATCTCAGTGTTGTCGTCTGAAGGAGTGACTCACATTCACACCCCTGCTTTGGAATAATGACATAATGCAGGAACACATCTACACACATTGACACGCTATGTGATTTGACCCTCTAATGATGATATTGATCCTCCTGCTTAAATATCAGAAGCATTATCAGACAAGAAAGACGTGAGCGAGCCAGACAGACGAAGAAGCAGTCACACACAGTCAAACATTTCCAATGGTTAACCGCTGTAAACCCCCCTTCCCTTCACCTATCGTGAGTGTGTGAGAGGAGGGGAAACTAAAACCTCTGAGATTTGTTGTGAGTCACCGCGGTACATGCTCAGTTAACACGGCAGACAGATGTGTGTGTGTGTGTGTGTGTGTGTGTGTGTGTGTGCAGATAAGTGAACTCTTCTGTCATGCAAGGACAGCCAACATCTGTAAAGTGAAACAGCAGGGACGTACAGCTGCTCTGATTTAGCTGTGAAAGACCCCACTGCCCTCTTTTTGCAAAAACCTCAAAATGTTAACAGACATGCAGATGCTGCATTTTGTTTTTTTTTTCACACCAAGGAACCCGCAAAGAAAAATTCCCACCACCTGACATTTGAAGCTTTTCATCTGACAGATTTAACATCATTTAGAGACCTTTTATCAGAATCAAACTTGTGGACTTAATTATTTTGTATTTCACTGCAGATGTTGTAAACTCTAATAACTTTTGTTAAGTTTTAAAGAGGACATATCATCCCTCCTTCTCCACCTTTTCAAACAGTCCCCCTGTGGTCTAAATGAAACATCCGTCGCTCCGTTTTGGTGTGTGTGTCTCTTTAAATGTAATGACCCCCCCGCCATCGATATACTGATGTTTATTGAATTTCTATGACAACGAGGATGATGTAATCATAATCTTCATAGATGTATGCAGGGCAGATATATCCCTTAAAAAAAACGATGGACAGCGTTACGATATGAAATGATATCGCTGCTCCTTCACATCGACAGTCTGATCAGGAGGCCTCCTGGACGCCTCCCTCTGGAAGTCATGGAGGAAACCCCCGGGGTAGACCCTGAGCATACCTACTGGCCTGGGAACGCTCTCAGAACGCTCCGTTTTGGTGTGTGTGTCTCTTTAAATGTAATGACCCCCCCGCCATCGATATACTGATGTTTATTGAATTTCTATGACAACGAGGATGATGTAATCATAATCTTCATAGATGTATGCAGGGCAGATATATCCCTTAAAAAAAACGATGGACAGCGTTACGATATGAAATGATATCGCTGCTCCTTCACATCGACAGTCTGATCAGGAGGCCTCCTGGACGCCTCCCTCTGGAAGTCATGGAGGAAACCCCCGGGGTAGACCCTGAGCATACCTACTGGCCTGGGAACGCCTCGAGGTCTCCCAGGAGGAGCTGGGGAGAGAGAAGTCTGGGGGGGGGGCGACTTTCTTAGTCTGCTGCCATCGGATAAGCGGAAGAAAATGGCTGGATGGATGGATGATATCTTAACGATGTGATGTGATGGATACGAGCAATATGATATGATAGGATACATTTTATTGACTGTTTGGAAAATGTGTGTTTGACTCCGCCTCCAGCGTTGGATCAAACCATTTTAAAAAACGACAATCTACAGGTGAAGCTGATACCAATGAAACCCAGAACATTTATATCATACCCATACTGCAAAAGATTCACATTTAATACACAACATTAAGACAAAAAAGACGAGGTAAATGGAGGTTAGAGTATTTTGAGTTTGTTGCATATGAACCTTCCAGCTGGTTCAGATATTTACTGTAAACATGTAGTCATTCAATCAAACTTTATAGATATTGATGAAAAAGTAGTTTATAAAATCATTGAGAGACTAATGCACACCAATAAGAATTAAAAAAATATAAAAATGAAAAAATAAATACCACACATAAAAGCAATAAGATATTAAAATCAATACATAGGAGAAGAATATTTAAAATTGTAGTAGGATAAAAAGACAATACAGTAATGTTAAGATTTGAATTTTATATAAAGCACTAAATAAAAGCCAGACTGAATAAATGAGTTTTAAGACTGCGTTTACAAATCTCAATATTCTCAGCTCCTCTCAGACCGTCAGGAAGGTTGTTCCTGCAAAAAACTACAGTACCCACCTGTTAAAGGAAGAAGGCCTGTTGTTCTTTCTGTTTTCAAAGAACCTGAAAATAATTGTTTTTATGAGTCATTATGAAAATGTACATCTCGTGTAGAAAGATCTTTAGGTCGTAACTTCGGCCTCTGTGTTAGTTTCTGTTTACAGTGAAACCGAGACTCGTGAGAAACAGATGAACGGGCGCTCCTCTGAGAATACGACAGAGGATTAGGGCCATGTTAAAAAATAAATAAATAAATAAAACAAAAATTTTGAGATTAAAGTTAAGAGTTCTACTTTCATCATTTTCCCGCAGGTCGGTCTCAAACTCGTAAGTTTACGACTTTATTCTCGTAAATTTTTGATTTTTTTTCCATCGTAGGTGAATGTCAATTTTGCAGACATGTCTAGGGTTGGGGATAAAATGCCGATTCTATTAAGGACCCGGTTCAACATTTTGCAAAAACATTTGAGCTTTTCGTTACTAGTATCGACGTACGTTATCCAGCAAGTTCTCTAAATCACACAAACATGCATCGATTGTCTGATAGTTTTTGAATGAAAATGAATTGAGATCAAACAAGAACATCTGCATAATGCATCAAATTTAAACCCTCTCTCTCTCTCTCCCCTGATTTCTGACTCTATCAACTGTCCTATCTCCAATAAAGGCACAAAAATAAATCTTAAAAAATAAAAAGTAATGTGAGTTTTAAGATTTATTGTGTTCCTTGAGTACTGTAGCGATATAGAACAGACCTCCCTGTGTGACTGACTTAAATCTGTGTCCTCTGTGTTCAGATCCGGCTGATGCGAGGGCAGAAGGCGACCCCCAGCTCCAGGGTCGGCGGTGTAGGAGGAAGCACCAACTACCAGGATCTCTGCCTGGCCAGCCCCGCCTCCGCAGAGGGCGACTACCTGAGCTCGGACGAGGACCTGCTCCACAGCCCGCTGCCCGCCAACGCCCTTTACCCCTCCCTGTCCGGCCCCTGTCACCCGTCTCCCCGCCTGGACAGCGAGGGGAGCACGGACAGCGAGGCGGAGGAGCAGGTGAGGATACACCCGGACCCTCAGCAGCTGTACGGCAGCATGGTGTGTGCGGAGGGGCTGGAGAACTGAGGCCGGGGAGGAGGCGTGAAGGTTTCATTGGATTTCTTTGAGAAAATAGAGACGCTGGAGCTCTGCAGGGACCTTAAACTGGGACTGTACCATCCAAACCAGTCCTCCTCCTCCTCGGCTTTTCCAGTGTTTACCTGTAACTTGAGGCAGACCTGGTTGGACCTCTTCTGATCATCACACCCCGTCCTCTCCACTCCTGTCACTGTCTCCCCCACACTGTGTCCCCTGACAAAGAGGTAATGTAATACCTCTCTCCTCGTTCCCAATAAACATATCCATCCAAACACAAAACATGACAAACAGAAACAGGACTGGACCTGCCCCCCAAAAACAACCAACCGGACCTGAATCTGTGACCATGACGAGGAGATGAACACGAGTAGACGGACGATAAAAAACTCTCCCCCTCTCCTTACAAACTAAACAACAGACACCTGACTCACTGTACAGTCCGTCTTCCTGTATCAAACTCTCCTCCCTGATTGGTTCAGGTGGTTAAAAACAAACATCTGTATCCCCCTCTTTTCCCCCTTTTAAACTTCTCATTGGAAAGACTCAAACTTCCATCAGCCATCGATTTACCTCTCAGTAGACCGAGTGTTTAAAATACAATTTAAAAAAAGGTGAAAATGTACCCATTCCAACTGTAGGGATAAGACAAGATGGCCGCCATACATGAAACATGAAACACTTGAACATATCTGTATGTGTGTGTGTGTGTGTGTGTGTGTGTGTGAGTGACGTCGGAACATATTCACCAGAACACGCAGAAAAAGAAAGAAAGAAACCTAAGTGTTGCCAAATGTATTGGTTTTCTTTTTATTTATTTATATGTTGTAATTTATTTTGATATTTTTTTTATTTTTTTATATATCTATATGAAACTGTAGGAAGCGTAAGGTACCGACAGAGGCCAAACTTTACCCAGCGTCCTTTGTGCCAACGAGTCGCCTGTGAGTGTTTCAGAGAGGGAAAATGTGCTGCTATGGTTTTTCAAACGACTCCTTCCATTCCTTCCTTTCTGTTTCCTTTTTTTTCTTTCTCTTTTCTATCTTTGTGAGGTGAGCGTGCAACTTCCTGTTAACTCTGCCATCGATTCCTCAGAAGACGGTGACGTTGCAGACCGATCACATCCGACATACTGAGCACTTTCACTTGATCTAATAGCGGAGAGTCTGAATATTCTGCAATAATGGGAATCATTTGTTTCTTCATCATTAATGTGAATGTTGTGGTTAAAGGAATAGTTTGAGAACTACATTTATTCCCTTTCCTGCCGAGGGCCAAATCAAAAGATCAACACATCTCTGAAATGTGCCTAACAGAGGAAACCCATTTTGAATGACTGCTGACATATCTAATTAATTTATGTTTAAGTAAACTTTCTTCTCTTGATGTTGAGAGGGGGTGGTGCCCATTGCGCTCATTGTAACAAAGCTCTAGTGTCCCGTATCCGTCCTTCATAATGACTCACAGCATCTCCACACATTTGAGCCTCTGGAAGCTCCAGATTTAAATCTGGATTCTAATAATAAAAGTAATGTAAAGTCATATATACAAACTTTATTTACAGATGATACAGCTGGGGGATTATTGTCCTGATAACTAGAAAGTTTGCATCTGACATCCCTTCAAAATACTGCGGCGCAGTTACCGCCGACTCGCACCAGATGCTAACTTTTACACGCTTACAGCGCGGCTGTTAGCATCATCATTTTTCATAAAAATTGGCACATTTTGCCCCAAATGAATGCATAATGGCTGATTTACATTTTTTGTTAAAACCGCACTGGCGCACAGTGACGCTGTTAGCTCTGCAGCGAAGTTAAGGGTGCAGTTAACCCTTTGAGTGCACTCAGAGAATAAGGCTGTCTTTTTGACTCCTTTGCAAAAGTATAGAGTGTGAACCCTGAGTGCAGTACACAGTTTAACACAGACAGGATATCTGTGAGTAAGTGAGATTTCAGGTCGATCCTTTCAGCCTTTGGATAAAGCTATGCTAACGGTTTCCGCCTGCATCCAGTCTTTATGCTCAGCTAAGCTAAGCCAAACACCTCCTGGCTGTAAAGATTCATAATTAACACAGAAATGAGAGTGCTGTTATTAGTCATCTAATCAAAGCAAATATATGCGTGCACTTCTCAAAATATCAAACTATTCCTTTTAATCATCAGTACGTCATATCGACAAAAAGAATTCCAGGTAATCAAGTTGATCTGGATGCATCATATCCTGTGCTCATAGTGACGACATTTTGTGGATGGAGATGTTCATACTGTAAGGACAAAACGGCTGCCATCATGACTAGAGGAAAAATATTTTACATATCAAACATTAATATAGCGTGTGTACAAAAAAAAGGGTTTTAAAAGAAATGGAGAAATATGAACTTCTACAGTGTAAGAGGAGCTGTGGGAAAGATGTGACGCTGTATCTGTAAGTTTCTGCAGACGGTGAGAGTGGGTTTAGGTGATCAAACAGGGTGATGTACTTTTTGCACAACACAGAAAGAGGGACCTCTGCACATAACAATGAGCAGTGAGGGATGCTTTTGAATGGATTCATGGTGAGCTCAGCGCCTACTGAAACCAGCCCTGCAGGGAGTCCTCATTGATCTCGAACATTCATCATCCAGACTCTGTTTTTTTGTTCATTATTCATCATACTAATGCTATTTCACAATGCTGCCCATTATTTGTGTGCAGTGCAACTTCAATGGTACTGGGGATAATCATCGCCACCTTCTAAGAAATAAGGAAACTGGGTCATCCAGTAGAGGCCATGAGACTGCTAAAGAGGATGTAGGTGTGCCGACACTGCTCTTGCAAATAACAGCTTTTTAGTGGTCGTTCATGGGTGTAACACAAAATCTCAGTGCTGGCAGCTGTGTCAGAACAGATATGTGTTGTACGACTGGTGTCACTTGAGTTCCTTCTAGTTCTGTGTGTACAAAGTGCAAACTGGCAGCAGCACTGACCGTGAGGAAAACATCTTTTAATGTGTTTACTTTGTGTCAAAACTAGGGCCCGACTGATGCAGGGTTTCTGGGGCCGATACTGATATCGATATATCGGCCGATATCTTTTCTTAGATCTATCTTCGATCTGTAGGATGGATGGATCTCTACATAGATAGAGTGTAGTGTGATACAATGAAACTGAAATGAAATGCTGTTTGACTGGTTCATAAAAATTGTTATATCGGCGCATATCCGCAATAAAAGTAGCCGATACCGATAGTCACTTGATGCGCAAATATCGGCTGGCCGAATATTCAGTCGGGCTCTGGTCAAAACTGACTGAATTCTTCTCTATCAGTGATAATCTATATGGTTTTCACTCTGTCACATGTTTACGTTTTGGTGCATGTTCTGGACAAGCCTGACATCCCACCTTCTTTTCCCATTTTAGGACTCTAAAGTGGGGTCATCGACAGCCACAGAACAAAAATGCCTCTGCATACTGAGGCAGCAAAACATGTGGCGCAGCAGCAAAACATGTGGCGCAGCAGCAAAACATGTGGCGCAGCAGCAACCTGCAAGAGTGGTTTCGGCTAATTCCCTCATCTTATTCACTCGGCTTTGACTAAAACATAACAGAGGTTTGGCAGGAAATCATTTGGTAGCTAACTTCATACCAAATGGAAAAAAGCCAATTGAAAACATTCCACTTAAGCTGCTGCGGTCATGTTTGACCTTTAATCCTGCACCCCGGTTAGGTTAATGATTGTGATTGGCTCGACCAGAATCCAGACGTTTGTTGAAAGAGCAAATAAAACATGAGCTTGCAGACGCATCCGAGGTTACTCTCATAAATCAGATGTGTCCAATTCAGAGACTGCATCCTGTCAAGGGTAGGACAGATCGCATCTGCAAAACCAAGGCTGTCCGATTTTGAAGGCTCCTTCAGATTCAGATTCAGATTCTTTATTATCCCACAAGGGGAAATTTGCGTTGCAACAGGAGCACACAGAAGACAAGAAAACACAAGGACAACATCACCATAAAACATAAACCAAAACAAATTGGAAAATCAGACAACACAGCAAAATATAAAACCAAATAAAATCAGCGCAATAAAATCAGTCAAGAGCCCAAACCAGAATGGAAATTCAAGTTATTAAAGTGCAAAGAGGAGGTGTGCAATTCAAGTGCAAAAAGAGCAACAAATAGCTAATTGTTGTTTAAAATATTAATTGCACTGGTAAAAATGAGACCTGGAGTCTTTTGTGGTTGGCTAATGCGCCCTACTTTTCCCCAGGCCACAAAGGATCTTCTTCACATCAGCCATGTCCCAATTCAGAGCTTAGGGCGCATTTTCAGAGTTTGAATTTTCTTGACCCGGATCGGTGCCTCGTGTTCATCATGACACAAGCGTACTCATCCTTATTATTATGTTGATAGTCACCGTCAGTATTTCTCCTGCTCACAGCAGAAGTCGAGAAGATAAAGAAACATCATAACGTGCCATAAAAAGTCGGTAGATTTACACACTATGCTAAAACGACCTCGTGTGTCACAGGTCGGCAGCCCGCCCTTCATTTAAACACGGCCGTGTCGTATGGAGTGAACTCTAATGTGGACTTAAATACCATCTCACTGTGTTGCTCCAGATTCATCCTCCTGGAGCTGAAACATCCACACATGTTCCCCGACTCAAAGCGAAAGGGAAATGAGACAACGCAGTGCTAAAAAAATAAAAAAGAAGAAGGTTGAGTCTTTCCTCACAGTCATCGAATAGAAGCCAAACGTGTTCACCTTCGTTTGTCTGGTGTTGGATTTCTCCGATGTATGTGCTGTTTGTGACGGCTGTTCATACCCAGAAAACTTGTCCACCTTCTCTCTGAATCTCTCTCTCTCTCGCTCTCTCTCTTTCTGTCTTGCAATTCAACTGATGTTGTTATTGAATATATTAAATGACGGTACAGATTATATTAAAATTACAAGTACGATGGGGGAAAAATACGTTTCAGTGTTCTGTATCCTGAGAATGATACAAAATAAACTTTGACATTGCACCTTTGCAAAGGCCTGATTGTCTTGTTGTTGTTTTATTTCTTGTTTGTTCATTTCATAGATTCCTGCCCTCGTACCATCGGGGTCCATGTGGAACAGGAGATACATGCATCAGCGCTTTGTAACTTACAGCTAGCTGTGTCATCATTCAGGTTTACTTGTTGCAGACTTCCTTATATGACGCACTTTATTGTCCACTAGGGGGAGTTTGTGTGCGGCCAAACATTCAGCTGCTTCATCACTAAAGTAAAACAGGATGCACAATGAACCCCGAGTTAAATGTAGAGGTTACTTTTTTCTTCATGTTGGCAGATGCAGAGCAAGATTTAGAAATTGAGGAAGCACCACGTCTTTTAAATCGGAGGTGTGGAAGCATTTTGGCTTCCCCGAGACAGAAAATTAAAGAGGTGATAACAGTCGGGACAAAACTGTGCAAATATTTCAAGAAGACAAGAAACTATACAAATAGCGCAACCAACATGATGCAGCATTTAATCCACACCACAATGAGAAGCTCCAATCACCTCCCCTTGTTGAGAAAAAAACCACACTGACAAACGGGTCTTAACAGCCCCTAAAGGAATCATTTGTCTACAGTCTCATTTTGTGAAATAAATCCTGAGAGAATCGTGTCATGAGTTGAGTGACTCGTTAAATCCCTAATGCCAAGCGGCAACCACCAGTGTTGAGAAAGGAAGCCCCATTAAGCCCCATATTAAAACGTCCATTTCAGAAGCAGAAATAAACATCTTTAAAGCAAAGTTCAAAAAACACATTTGGTACAAATAGCTCATTACTTTGATGGTGCACATTGTGCAGGGCTGATTTTGTTTTATAATTAATCTGTTCTTTGACTCAAAATGTTATTTCTGAAGAAGATTTGAAATGTCCAGATATTAAAAGCAAAACATGCATCGTGCAGCAGTCACAGTATTTACAGTGGGAGAAACTCCGGCTGAAGTCAGAGTGTTTGCATTCACATATGCAGCTCCTCCTGGAAATATCTGGAGTTTTCTGCAACGTTCATATTCCTGACAGCTGTAGAAAAAGCTTCACCTACTCAGCAGGTTAAGGTTTAGGTTTGTACCTAAAACTGTGACTTCCTGTTCACAGCTCACTATCTGCTTCTGAATCACTTTTAACCCAACTCCTTAGAACTCTGACCAAATTAAAGTAGGCGTTCATTGCTAAATGGACTTCTTCTTTTTTTAGATTTTAACACCTTTGAGGTTAGTGGCAGACAGATAGAGGTGGTGTGAGACTTCATGTTGCAGAAAATCTCAACCTTAAATAAACCCTGACAACAGCACGTCTGCATTCAGAACAGAAATGTGGGCAAATAAAACTATCACAGCGTGCACCCCCCCCCCCCCCCCCCCCAAAGCACATACATGTATTAAAGTGCATATGTGAAAACAGCAAACATTCAATTTCCTGTGATTTTGATGATATTTTACGATGACGAGTTCTGGCCAATCAGACAACAGAAGCAACACAGACGATGTTTCTCATTCCTGCTCGTTGCAGAATATTAAAGAGAATCAGCTGTTGCAATCAGCCGGCTTTTCTTTAGAACTGGAACCTCTGCGCGCTCTCTTTTGTAACTCGACGGTGTCAACACAGCGTGTCAACACTTTCTGCAGAACTTTCCGCACGCTCTTCCATCCTCTTCTCACGGCAGACTTTCTTTTTAATACGTGTCCTCCTCAAAGTTGGTTTTCATCTTCATAGTTTGCACTGAAGTTTTTTTATTATCTTAAAGAAGAAGAAGTCGAGTCGGAGAGATTTGTGAGTGTGAGGAGGAGGAAGCTGTGTGGTCGTTAGCTCAGGAGGTGTCAGAAGCTGAAGCACTTCCTCGTCTGTCACTCCTCTCATCACTGCGAGCGCCGTCAGAGCACGCTGACCTCACGTGACAAACTGACTTCACAGCGTCTCGGCTCACTCCACACTAGACTTTCATCAGCGTTAAATTATAGTCAGAGTGAGACGTCAAGAACTAAATCTGGTGAGTATTTGTTATTTTTTGATTCTGGAGATCTACCCTCACACGTCTGATTCTCCTGCTTTCTTCATGTTTATTTATTTTTATTTTAACCTCAGAATTAAAAAAAACAAACTTTTAAAGAGTGATAACTTAGTTTACTCTGTTCCTTCTATTTGAACTTTTTTAAGGCCTAAAACAGAATCCACTTTATAAACACTTTGTATAGTGTTGGAGTACTCAAAATCCATCTTAGTCTAGAGAACACTTTTTGAAGTTCTCGGTCTCTGAATCGAAAGTCTTTCAATTCAGCCTTGTCTCTGTCTCAGACTGGGCAGACTCCTGATTTTAAATCAAGACCGGTCAAGACCACCACTGATCGGCTATTTTCCCAAAAGAACAAATAACTTAAGTACATTTGTAGTTTGATTTCATGTGTTACGGTCTAAGTGATTGACACGCCTGCTGCACACAAGATGATGATTATTCTGTGATATTTATGGTCTTGGTCTTGACTCGGTCTCACCCTGCCTTGGTCTTGGTCTTGATCCCTAAATGTCTTGGTCTTGACTCGGTCTCGGAGCACTCTGGCCTCTTGGTCTCGGTTAATGAGGTCTTGACTCCAACACTTTATGTGTCTACTTGTACTTCATAATCCCCTCTATGTGTTTTGCATTTCTCTGAGATATCTCTGATATTTTTGTGCTGGAACTTTTAAACAGCCTGACACAGGAAGTTCCTGTGAGCTCTATCTTATCTGAAGTCAAGATTTCCAATCCACAAATGGATTTATTAATCTAATCATACAAATAATCACCTTGATTGTTTCTGTAATTACAATGAGCAAGGGGCGGTGGGGGGGGGGGGGGTGTTTGAATACATACTGAAAATAAGGTATACTTATTGTCCCCAGAGGGTCCTGCAGGTAGAAGAGAATTAAACACATAAATAGAGATCTTACAGAACATGTAACAATTCCATATAAACTCTAAAAACACTTTCCTGCAGCGCTGACATGTCGGCACATCCCCCTACATCACCTGTTAGTCAGAGTGTTAACGGATGTCGGCACAAATGAATCAATACCCTGCAACAGTAAAAAGTAGATCAAGATGACATCGTCCTTTATAAATGTTAGAGTTCATAAAAACATTTGTGTACAAGCGGTCATGACGGAGCTCAAAAGAGGAAAGCGGTCGACTTGTTGCGTACATTTACATCAGAGAAAAATCAAGTTTGATATGCAGATGTTTCTTTTAAATTAAATTCAAGAGTGAAGATTGAACATATTTCAGCAGTGACATGTAACGACTGTTCTGCAATAAATTAATAAAACACTCAAACATTTATCTGAGTTACATATCATCAGTAAAATTTAGAAATACAAAGATTAAAAATAGAACAATTGTTAGTATTATTATTATTTTGACATTCACATTAAGGTTTTTCAGCTTTTGGTTAGTGAGCAAAAGAAAACACAGAAAACAGAAAAAAGGCGGACGACGTGTGGCTCATGTGGTCAGACGATGTCTTGTAAAAAGTGAAATTGCACAATTTAAACAAAAGGAAGTGCATGTAAGTTGTGTAAAACAACTCAAATCAAAATCCTGAGTGAAAAATGTAAAAAAAAAAAAAAAAAAAAGAGTTCCACTCTTAAAAGGACAAAAAAAAGTTCTGCAATTGAATTATTGTCATGCCATTGAAATTTAGCAGGGGCCGAGATTTAGTCCCTGGTACAAGTGGTTCTCAGAAAACAGGGGAAATTATTAAACACACATAAACCCGAAACTCCAAGCATGAAAACTGTAAAGACGAGGAAGGAAATACTCAAAAGGCCTTTTACTATAACGACATAATCATTAATAAATGATTAGAAAAGTGTGAATACTTCAGAGTCCAGAAGCTTCTTTCTCAGTTTTATAATCGAGGTCCGTTTCTGCAAAAAAGGGAGCAAGGCTGCGATTTGTGATATCCACATGTCGACTGTTTGGACCTGTGGAGGAGACCGACACTCTTTATCCACATGATGCATAAAAGAATAATTAACAGAGATTTAACATCTGGATTAAAAAGATCCTAAGAACAGTGATTCAGCAGGTAACGCCAAGAGGTCGTTTATCCGTCAGCCCCTGGATCACTAAGAGAACCTCTTTGAATAAATGTTCCTTTATGCATCTGATATTTCAAACAAAGGTTTGAAGAGGCGAAAATGTGTAAAAATAAAAAGTTTCAATGAAAAATGTAAAATATGTATCCATGTAATCTTTAGCGTTCGAGGTAAAAACGTGACAAAAAAAAATCCTAACCAGATTATTTTTGAATCTTCAAAATGTAAGACTGCCAACAGATCTCGTTCCCATAGCGACTTCAGAAACTCATAATCTGAAGAATCAGCAGTAAAACTTGTAGATAATACCTTTTTAGATATTTTCTTTTTTTGTTGTTGTTGTTTTGGGGGGGGGGGTGTTGCCTTTATTTGATAGGACAGTGAATCGAGTATGAAATAGTTAAGAGAGATAGTGGGTAAGGAGCCACAAGCGGGACTTGAACCCGTGCTGCCCGCTTGCAGGACTATAACCTCCTTACACGGGGCGCGACCTAACCGCTAGGCCATCTACGCCCCATAATACCTTATTTTTAAATTCTTTATTGCATTATGTTTTTTTAACATTGCATGTTTTTAATTTCAGCGTTTATTTTGTCTTATTGTGCAGAAATTAAAAAAAGAAAGTAAGGGAGGACAGAGAAAAGAGTCGACGGGAACAAAAAACATTTAAAACAAGAAGACGTGTATGGTGGTTGTGGGGGGTGGGGGGGAGGGGGGTCCTTCAGTATGCTCTTAATTTATGTACATGTTTTTATTCTACTCTTTAAGTTTCTTGTGAATCCATCTTCTCCGCTTCTCTGTGATTCTTTCCATTTTTTTAACTTCTTCAGCTGTTAACTTCTGTGTGTTAATGATAGATGATGATTTAAAATCCACCCCGCTCCGTGTGGTTTGCTTGAAAGCAGCTATGAATATTATTGTGTATAAATATGTATCTCCTTCCTTCTCTATTCCTGATGGAGGAGTACAGTATTTAATATCGGCTGGCTGTATCTGCTTCTGTAAATGACAAATCGTGGCGTCTGCCAAATGAATTGTGGAAAAATATTTGTGTTTTTTTTTTTCTCCTGAACTGAATTGTCCCAACAAAGGACAAGATCATAAAGATCATAAATCACTTCCTGTTCCCCACAATCCCTCCAGCTTTCAGCGCTTCCTGATAAGTTTGGATTTTTGGTGGTATGAAAACACATTAAAAAAAGAAAGAATAATAAAGGGGGAGATATTACCTTTTCGTAGGTAAAACCTGTGAATTTGGAGATATCTGAAAAAAATCTTTATGTGTTAACGTCAAATTTATTGTTTGTTTTTGACATTTTTCTGTGTGTATGTATCTCAGAGAATTGTTGTAACATTTTGTCTGTCAAGTTGTTCTGGTAGCTGGAGGGGTGCCACAGCGTTTCCAGAGTACAGCCGAGGTGAGCTTGAGCAAGGCACCGAGCCCCCAAGCTGTGGGCAGCCCTCTCGCTCTGACATCTCTCCACTAATGCACGTCCACAGCTCCTGTTTGTGCTTGTGTGTATGTGTGTGTGTGTGTGTGTGTGTGTGTGTTTGTGGGAAGCATGTCTCTCACACACACACACACACACACACACACACACACACACACACACACACACACACACACACACACACACACACACAGTGTAAAACCAGAATTTCCCTCAGAGATTCATAAAGCATGTAAAACATTTTTAAAACATGTCACTCCCCATACGAACAGGTGACAAACACTAATGCTGAATCTTGACTTTTGGAATGAATACAACAGAAGCAGCTGCATAGACTCATATTTACACATGCATTTGTATTTTACTTCATGTTTTATTGCAAAGGGACAAGTACGGAGCGAGTAACCACATTGCCACACACTACAGCATAATCTAATTTGCAAAGCCTGTCCCTAGGTGGGCCTTTAAAACACATAAAACAATACAGAAACGGACAAAACAGTACAGGATATCACACAATAACACAAAGTCAAACAGGAAGAGCAGGGTCGTAAATTACTAAAAGTCTGAGTCCTCTTTAAGAACGGTTTCAGTTTCAGATAAGTCTTTGATATTCATGCACTGAATAGACGAGGGTTTGGACATACAAGACATTTGTGCACACTACACTTTTATTACATTCCCTATTCATCGGTGCTGCCTGATTTTTTTTATTTGTATTTATTGAACTGAGAGAGGGAGCTAGATTCAGTAAATGGTACCTCGATTTAAAAAAACCACAAATTTTAAATGATCTGCATCCAGAAATGTGACTCAGTTGACGCCAAACTAGCCTTCACAATAAGATGTATTTTAATTTAAACACATTCTGCGTGCCTGCCAATGCAGTGATCACACACATTCAGGCATGCAGGAAACATGAAGTTTTTAAACGTGCAGATCTGCTGCCCTCTTTTGGTCATAAAGTATACCTCCTTCAACCTTAACATGTGTTTACAGTAAGTGTTGTTATGTTTCTTTAAAGAGGACATATTATCCACCTTTTCCACCTTTTCAAACAGTCCCCCTGTGGTCTAAATGAAACATCTGTGCTGTGCTTTGGTCAAAATATAACATGAATCAAGCACCAGAGGAGGTTTGTGACCCTGTATAAACCAGCTCTCTCAGAACGCTCCGTTTTGGTGTGTGTGTCTCTTTAAATGTAATGAGCCCCCCCCTGACTTTTCCCCGTAGACATCACTCCTCTGTAGCGAGAATAAAAATGGCCGACCTGCGCAAAAGTTTTTATCTAGGCTGGGGGTGGAGTCCATCTGTGGAGATACCAGGGGAGGGGATTTTTTTTTTTTTACCAGAATCCCACTGTGACATCACAAGGAGAGCACATTTGAAACGGAGCATCTGTGTTGTAAGACTTATGCAGACCACAAACAAAGGACTGGATGGGTTTATTTCACATTTTGTGGGTCGGTAGACACTCAGGTTACCCAAATATATGTTCAAAAACACTGTAAACATCGATTTTACATAATATGTCCCCTTTAATTCTCTAGATGACCTTGATTTGGCGTCCATATCTGGTCTTCGCCAATCCTGAGTGATGCCTCGTTCCTTCTTGGTGAAGCGAGGAGGGTTGCATCACCTTCGGCACACAGTGAGAAGCCGGAGCCCTGGATCCACCTCTGGGACGTTTAAACTTATAGAAAAAAAGACGGGGTCCTGGTATGCATCCCTGTGGGACTCCACAGACGAAACACCGGATAATATCATCAAAGAGCCCATCACATTATCGCAGCAGGACCCTCAGGCTGCCAAACATCTAAATGGAATTAGGATCCATCAGCTGCTTAGTCCCAAATCTTACGGTGAGCACCAGGTTTTTATCCTTTTTGTTTATTTGGATACACGTCAATCACATACATGTTCTGCTTAAATGTACAGAGACACAAAACTTTTCCTTGATATCAGAAAATGATTGACAGATGGTTTCAAAGCTGACAACTAAAGAATAGGGGTCTCATTTATAAACATTGCATACAAACAAAATAGAGCCTGAATGTGGCATATGACGCTTCCTACACAAAAAACCTGACCGTGGCGGCTGTGGCCTTGTGGTGGAGTCGGTCGTCTCTCAACTGGATGGTCGAGGGTTCGATCACCAGCTCCTGCAGCCACATGTCCGATGTGACCTTGGGAAAGACACTTAACCCCAAGTTGCTCCTGCTGGGGCCGGGGCCCCTCTAATCAGCGTTCATCACCATTACATCTTAAATATTCAAACACCAACAAAAAAACATTAACAACCTTAATTTTCCTTCTGCGACTTGTTATTGACAAACAGGTTTTCACAGCATTAATCCATGCAACGCTTAGCAGCACAACAAGAGTGAGTGCTGTCAGATGGGGCCCGCTTAGGGAGGTTTCCTATCAAGTCTTTGCAAACTTTGTACATGTTTAATCACTTCCATGGTTCAAAGTTTGTCAGCGCTTGGGGGCCCCCTTCTGGCCTGTTGTTGCCTGCCTTTCCTGGTGACAAACAGCACCTCTGCTTGCTGTGGGTTTTTACCCAGTTTTATGAATGAGACCCCAGGTTTTTTTTTCCTTTTCTTTTACATATTTTGTAAATTGTTATTTGAGACTTAATTGTTTGAAAGTTTTTCTATCTAAAGGTATTAAGGTGTAATAGCAGCTTTACTAACATCTCTGTCTTCTTTTCTTCAGACTGTAGATCTGCTGAGTTCTGCAGTCCGGTCTACTCAAACACTTTTAGCACCACAGACAAAGTCGATTCTCGTCCTGTGAAACCAGACATATGCTCCAGAACTCACGGCAACTCAGAGTATCCAGATACGGTGTCCTTGGGACTGGGAGACTTGACTCAGCACCCACAGATCCTAAGGGAGACCAGGAGGCAGGACTGTCCACTGTGCAGCAAAGTATGTCTTTCCTCATTACATTTAGTCACATCTGTATGTCAAAGACTGACTGAGACACAGCACAGCCTTTTAGTTCTATTGGTGCTTTAGAAAAAACTGCTTCAACTGCACGGGAAAAATAGAAAATACGAATTTGGAGACTAGAAATAACAGGCTGCGTCATGTCAATCATGCAGAGTTGTTGACCATGTGTCATGACCGGCTCAAAGGCCACGGCAAATAGAGAGGGACACAGGGAAGATTACACTTAATTTAACTGATTTATTTTTTTAAAATCATTAGGATTATTTAATTGTTTCTATCAGGAAGTTGATGTGCCAAAAAAAAAAAACTACTGATTTAACTTGCTGACATTTAATTCCCAATGTGAGCTTGTGAAAAAGTATTTTTGGGCCCAATGGCATCATGTGACACTGCAATACCAAGTTTGGCCACCATGTAAAAAAAGATGTAAACGGTGGGTGCACTTCCTCAGGGCTTGGGCCTAATGTGTAACCAGCCTATCATATCAGAAAAGAAAACAGGACCACTTAGGTCACAGGGCTTTCACACTGTCCAAAATATTTAACTGATTCTGAAGAAATCTCTGGTGAAAGTTTCAAACCTTCATCTCTCCTAAAGCCTGAATATACATTTTTTTACACCTCAAGTTTTTTTTCCTGTCTGTGTCTTTACAGATATTCTCATCTCTGTCAAGTCTGACGACTCACATATGCAGGTGTCATGGAAGCAGAACAACCCTGACCCCAGCACACATCAAGTCCAGCAGAACAGAAAATAAGACGGCGTCGTACAAGGGCAACAAGGTCAGCTCACATCACTCTTCATGAGGGCATATTGTTTATACACTAAAACGATCGATACGGTACATCACGCCTGGATGCCTAACCACTGTGCCTGTCGTTTCAGGAGAGGACGTTTGGCTGTTCAGTGTGTGGAAAAGAGTTCAAGCGCTCCTCCACCCTCTCCACCCATCTCCTCATACACTCAGACACACGACCTTACCCCTGCCAGTACTGCGGCAAGAGCTTCCACCAGAAGTCTGACATGAAGAAGCACACCTTCATACACACTGGTGAGCTCATCTTTAAATTCACCTATTAAATATTTCAATCTCCAACATACATCCATGGACTGAATAAGACATGGACGTAGTCTTAGTGACGTCACCCATTGGTTACTGAAGGGAAATTTTGAAGCCAGATGTCGTGATCACCATATTGAAAATGCCATCTTGAGAAAAAGGGCGCCGACTCCATCATAGTTTAAAGGTCACATATTATGCAAAATCCACTTCCCCATGTTTCTCTAACTCTAACATGTGTCTCTAGTCTGTGTACAAACCCCCCAATCATGAGAAAAGTCCATCCTCTCCGTCTTTTGCCTGCTCCACTTTTCAGAAAATGTGTGCTCAAACAGGCCATTTGGAGATTTTCCCTTCATGACATCACAAAGGGCAGTAGCCCCTCCCCCAGGTGGGTAACAGCTAGGTGTTTGTTCTGCCCTCTGAGTCTGCCTTCTCACCGTAAACAATAGGACATGGGGCGAGAAAGCACCGAGTACACCCAAGCCCTTCCAGAGAGGGGGCGTGGTCAGACACCGCTCATTTACATATTTAAAGGTACAGACACAGAAACAGCCTGTTCTGAGCGGGGCTGAAATAGAGGGGTTTATAGACATGATCAAATACAGGATCAGAGTGGATTTAGATCAAGAAACTTCACACACATGTTTTGAGGAGCTCTGAGACTTATTTACACTGGTTGAAGAGGAGGAGAATATGAGACCTTTAAACTGGTTATATCCTGTTCTTCTGTTAACGGAGACTTTACATTAACATTACGGTTCCAGTCAATCATGAAGGTGGACCAAAACATCAATGTTGGACTCCTAGGTTCTGTTTGAGCTGCTCACTCCCAGTCAACATTTCCTTCAAATTTAATCTCTTTGTAGTTTAGGGTCACTTGGAGTAGAAACCCTAACGTTGGTGCCATTTTTTAAAGTGTTTTAGGACAAAATCTAAATTCAAGATGAATACAGGAAATGGAACTGAATTAAAAAAAGGCAACTTAACCCACAATCCTGGTTCTTTTCCTCTATTCCTAGAAATGATGTAAAATGGCAAACAATCTCTGGAAAACCTCTTGCAACCTGGACATCAATGATGTGTTTGCGAATGACTTGTGTTGTGTTTGCGTACCAGGAGAGAAGCCCCCACGTGTGTCAGATATGCGGGAAGGCCTTCAGCCAGAGCTCCAACCTCATCACCCACAGCCGCAAACACCTGGACGAGCGTCCGTACCACTGTCCTTGCTGCCTCTACGGCTTCCAGCACAAAGTGGAGCTGCGGCAGCACCAGGCGCACCACTGCAGCAGTCACCACCTGCTGTGACACCGGCGGGGTTCAGAGTCCACCACCAGCAGAGACATCTTACACTCATGAGTAAAGCAGGGGGTTTAAAATACTGAATACTGAAATGTTATTATTTAATGATTCCTCTACTGAAAAATCTTTTGGAAGTCAATGAGTGTGTTTACATGGATTTGAGTATCCCGCTTTTAATCGGGTTTTACAAATATCCTGTTTTTGTCCTTGAGCACCACACCCGGATTTCAGGAACCAGGATAAGCCCTTATCCCGAATCTGAGAAACCTGACTGCTACCTGGAGAACTCCGTTAGAAAAATGGATACTGTGACATGTATACGCCTTTCCCCTGTTTCTGACAGCTGCCGACTTCCTACGAAAGGGCGGCCAAAAAAAAAAAAACATGGCGGCGACAATGAGAGTGTCTTACTTGGAGTTTTGTCTTTTGCTGATGACAGAATTAATTACAACTGGAAGTTTAGATGGAAGAAAGCATCAAAGTGCTGACCTACTCAAGTCTATGGTGGACAGGCTGCAGGATGACGGTTTCCCAAAACGTTAAGTGGAAACCGGCATCCTCGGGTCACGTTGGAAAGAAACATTAAGGAAGTGGCCAAACATCAGAACCAGAGAAGTGGCTCTGATCCAGCAACCTTTCAAATCGCACAAAATCTTGGACGAGATGCTTGGTCATCGTCCGCTGGCCGGTTTGTGTTGGGAGAAATAAACATCACAGGCGCCTGCACAAATAAGATGCAGTAATCAGGAACAAGGATATGAATATTTATCCTGCAGCAGGTGTCCCTGTGTGCATGTAAACACCACATCCTGAAAATGATCAATGCTGGGATAAGGCTCAAGTCCATGTAAACACACTCAGCTATTCTTGCATCTACTTTTTCTAGTTCACGAGTAAAAATGGAAACATTATTGACGGTTGTGAATTCATCTCATGTTTAATAAAATGTTTAATATTTGTTTGTAAACCTCGCATTATTTGTGATCTTGTTGTTTCAAGTGGTGACTTTGTTAAATCATCTTTGTTTCCTCATGTCCGTGTTCTGCAGATCTGTGATTGTGTCATGTTTTCACTTGCGCGCTTTGTAAACTTGTTAAAATGAGTACAAGACATCATCCTGCGAGGCAAAAATCCTGCAGTTTGTCGAGTGTCCACTAGAGGCTGGCTGCAGGAACACCGGAAGCCACATACACATGACAGCCATAAATGCAGTTTTTACAGCATAAATTAACATGTTTACAGCCTGGGACAAAAAATCAATTAGGTCTGATTAGTTATTCTCAGTTTTGGTATTATGAATATGAATTTTATGATACATGTTATCCATAGTAAGGTGCGTAGCTGACATGATTGACAGGTGGGCGCGATGTAACTGTTTGTTAAGAGGCTTAAAACCCGCCTCAGCTCTCAGCCTGTTGTTAGGGTGACTAAAAGTTAGTCTGAGACAGGATTTCCAACATAGCGGCTGCTGCCAATGAGCCTCCAGTGCCCCCTGCAGGAACAGACGGGTGAAGCCACTCAGGCTCCAAACATTCATATTTACAGTCTATGGGTGGAATGAAACAATGAAAAAAACGAAACAATAGGCTAGAAGTGTTATCTCCTGAGTGAAAAAAGTCCTTCGTGAGTAAAGTTAAGGCAAACACAAAAAGATATCCAAAGCACTCTGTTCCGTTACAGAAGTTAAAAAGCCTTTATTCATTCATGACTACAGGTGAAGTGAAAGATATTTGGTAGGCCGGCACGTTTCAGTTCATGGGGAGGGTGGTATCTAATCTTCACCAGCAGAGTAGTTTTAATAAGTAGTACGGGAGGATACAGAGATTATTATTTTATACATTTCTTTCAGCATCTTCTCACTTTGGGCTCAGATTAGTAGAAACATCATCAGTGGGTTTTTTTCTGTTTTGTAGTTTGCTATTAAGAAAAGAACCCCCAAACGGACCCCCAAAAAGTCTTAGGATTGTATTTCTCTCGGTCTCTGTAGTCTCCATGTGAATACCCTAATGATCAGTTTATCATATTAGTTTCAATCAACATTAGGCGTTTTCACATATGCACTCACATCAGAAATGTCTTTCGCAGTGATGCATTCATTTAAAAACATGTAGACTTCAAGTTCTTGTCTTTCTGTTCTATTGTAGCCCTGCAGAGTTCCTACAGCTGGAGCTTCATACAGGCTCTGCAGCCTTTGTTGTTTTTATGACATCATTAGACTAACTTTAGTTTTATTTATATATAATCAAACATAATACAGAATGTTTTAATTCTGTGACACAAGGTCAAAGTAAGTTTTACTGAAAGAAGAGTTTTATTCATAGAGGGGGCGGGACATCGTTGATTGACAGACAAACAGTCACCATGGTTACTCACTCTCACCTGCCTGCTGCACACTGAACGAGAGGACAAAGAGCTGCTGAATGACATCACTTCATCAGCATGCATAGAAATCAAAGTATAGAAATAAGTGATTGTTGGCCTACTGTTAAAAAAATTAACATCCGAGGTCCGGACCTCGCTGATATGATCGCCTCCCTCCGTTCCATAACGTCATTTAGCCTAATCCCTTTAGGTTCCGTTATCACAACAAGTGAGCTTCGAGTGGAGAGGCGTGTTAGTAACTTTTATAAACTGAGAGAGCAGAAAACACCGACAGCAACGTTTTAAACACCGGGGTTATATCTCTCATCACTGTCTGTCTGAGCTCCTCTCTGTCTGACTCTCTGCAGACTGTTAACGTCTCTCCGGCTCGTTAAACGGTTTCTTGTGTCGCTATTTGAGATGAAAACTTAACTGTGCAAACTATGCAGATAAGTTAACTGTTGCTCACAGAGTGTCGGTTTGGAAAAATATCAAAACAGTTGCCTATAACCGGGATGAAGTGGTTTTTGTGGACTTAACTCTTAAGTTTCATTTTCACCACTGAGGAGCAGTGGGACAAGGGGACAGAAGGGGAGGGAGACGCGTCTGTGTAGGAGCATAAACTGCAGCATGAGAGAATAAACACATTAGCCCGGTTCTACGATCTCTCTGCTTTGGCAGATAGGACTCTGAAAACATCACAGACAGTGGAACTCGGGTGTTATACCCATTGTAGACAGTCATGACTCACAGAGTCATTTTCAGAGGATATACTTGATTTCTATTACATTTAAGTGTGAAAAATCACATATAAAACCTTTAAAAACATTATATAGGGAATTGTGATAAAATCGTGATTTTGTCATTAAAAAATTTGCGATATGATATTTTTTCCATATCGCCCACCTCTAATATGGGTCTCTGAATACTTTTAGTAGGGCATTCACACTTGCAGAAATCTTCTAAAAAAACTCCTGATATTTCCTGGAGGAGCTGTATGTGTGAACGCAAACAGCTGAATGTTTCACTCGGACTTCACCCGGAGTTTCTCCTGCCAGACCTCCTAGTATTTATTGTCTGATTAAGCTGATGTGAGAACGCAGCAGGATATTCTCCGGAGAATTCACCTTGAGCCAATAGGAGCGAATGACATTTATATACTGTGACTGCTGCACGGTGCACAGACTATCTGCATGTAACAACTACGATCTCCGTGCTCTAATGAACCTGCTGCATTATGTTTCCTGTTCTCCAGTATGTTGTTCTCTGCTCTTTTGTGGATGTTGTGACTCTGTTGGACATGATATGAAGGCAAATATTCTCATTATATTGTTGTATAGCGGACTCTTCGTCTGCTACTTCCACATTGTTTTCTTACGGCACGTCTTACCACAGGAGACCCCCTGCCCCCCCCCACCACAGGAGACCCCCCGCCCCCCCTGTCTGACAGGGATAGTCTCCCTCTGTGAGGAGCATAATGTGAACAGCCAGGTCAGGAGAATCTCCAGAGCAGTCCTCCTGTAATGGTCTAGATATTATCAGAAGTACAGATATGAAAACGGCTTAGGATACCTGTAATTATTCTTTTATAAATCTTGATAATTTCTATAACTTTAAATGTCACAGTGTTACTGTCCACGTTGAATATGTACCACGAGGTCCCTTCAAGTCCTCATGCTGCGTGTATGTTGATTGAAACTAATATGATAAACTGATCATTAGGGTATTCACATGGAGACTACAGAGACATCATGAAGTTTAAGTCTTCTGGAGCTTCAGATATAACAGCCCGGCAGGACGGGCTGATGCGGGCTAAAGGTAAACACTGCAGTACAACACAAGAGGACTTCAACGTTACATAAAAAAAATAATTGGGCGGCCCTCCTACCGGCGTTCATCACCATTACGTCTCCCAGTGTCCCGACGCTTACTCCTCTTCCTCTTTTTCGCTCCTATAGACTAATAATTCCTCTTCATTTTTCTTTATTGACTGTCATTGACAAACACTGGTTTTAACAGCAATAATTCATGCAACGCTAAGCAGGGCAACGAGAGTGAGTGCTGACTGATGGGGCTCCCTTAAGGCCCTGACACACCAAGGAGACCGTCTGCCGTTGGTCCGTCGCTGAGCAGGCGTCGCCCTCGTTTTTGCTTAGTGTTCAGCTCCATTGATACCCATCGGCCCCAGTTGGCCTTTTTTTGGCCGATTCCACATCGATTGAATCGACGTGAGCCGGCGCGGTTGGGGGTAGGAATCTCTCTGATTGGCTGTTCAGCTAAACGAAACAAGAGAGCCAGAGCACGGGAAGAAATACGGAAGCGCCTCTTCTATTCTTGTTCCAATAATTAAAGGCTGAATATGAGATTTTTCACACTTCAATGTAATAGAAATCAAGTATATAAAAGTTGTTTAATGGAGGGACTAGAGAAAAGAAGAATAACATACTGTACTCACTGCTTAACTGTGTTTCTAGATCACGCTCATTTCAGGTTAATTTACATGCAGTGTGAAGATACCAGCAGAATAAAGATCGCTAGCTTTAGCATGCTAACACAACAGTGCAGCAAGAGTTGTTTTGGTTTCATGCTGGTGCTCAAGGGCGACATCTGCTGGATCAAAAAATCGCATATTCTGCCCTTAAGGTCCAAGGGCTGTCAACACCAGCGGCATTTTTTACTTTTTATCAGACATTAATCTCCATTAGAAGTACCTATATTATGCGTGTTGAACGACAGCGGTGAGAAAATTGTCTTCTTGTATCACGGTTTAGTTTTCTGCGTTCTTCCTCATCCACTTCCGGTTTCCCCTTTTTGGAATGACGATTACAGACTAGCGCCGCCTGCTGGCATGGAGAGTTATTTCCTTCTTACGCATGCGCAGAACGTACGTGGAGGTTGGTCGGCGGCTGTAGTCTTTGCGGTGTGTTCTAGTGCAACTTTTTGGCCAAGACAAAAGGAGTCGTGCGCTGATGTTGTGCTCGGACACGATGCTTCCTCTCTGGCAGCGTCATGAAGAATCACAGCTGAGAGCTCCCCCTTCCGGCCTCGGCAGGCATTACTAATCAATCCAAAACATTATCTTTCGATAGACTCTACAGGTAGATCACAGATTAACAACTTCTGACAGACAGATATCTGCATATTTTTAAGTTTTAACCAGAAACTATCTCTTTACAGAGATACCTATCCTTTATTCATTTCCACTTGTCAAGGCCACAACTATTGATGTGAGAATTACTAACACCTGAGTTGTTGTTGTCTCTGTAGGTTGATGTCCATCCAGACGGAGGAAACCATAAAAAAATAGGCGCATGGGACAGTAGGGCGCACCTGAGCCAAGCTACAGGGATCTTGGTTGATTTCATCAAAAAGATCCGTAAAAAATAGCCAGACTGGAGCAAAGAGTATCAGCTGGAAGGTTTGTTTTACTGAACCATGCAGTGGACTTTCAAAAGCTCAACCCTCTTCACACAATCAATCTGATCTTACTTTTATTTGATTCCACAGGAGGGATTGCAGCCTACAACTGCGGGGATGGAAAAGTCGACCCTAAAGATGCGGATAAAAACATGACAGGTGGAGACTACGCCAATGATGGACAGAGCT